GGTTTCTGCGGCTAAAATATTTATAACGGCAGCCGCACTCATGTATATGTATGTATATATATATGGTTGCCAAAGCCATTTGCCCTGTGAGAGGAAGATGAGGCTACCCGCTCTGGTAAAGCTTTACAGCCACGGGGGCCTTAGACAGGGTTTCTATGAGTCCACATGGACTTGATGGCGGTGGGTTTGGGAGCACTGGTGGGTTCAATGTCATGTGTAAAAATGAGGATTATATCTACATTTATATCGAGGAGCCTTGGTGACTGTGAATGGATGGACCTCACCTCCTGCACAACCCGTGGGAGGATGCAGCTGGTTTGCCCCAGTTCGGTTCGGTGAGCAGGTGTTAAAATGGTCATTGTCATCAGGGTTCTCTCAACGGTGATCAGTTGGGCATTGGCCCAATGTGGGAATCACAAGTTTATATTCCCTAACCCTTTTAAGCATTCATCTGCACAACAGCGGTGTTTGATGTCATGTTGAAAGAAAAAACAACCTTTCGGTATATTTTTTTATACTTAAAACTATCCTTAGGTCAGCAAACTGGTCGTTAAATTATTTGAATCCAACCACTGTGTACAACCCTAAAACCCTTGTAGGTCTCTCAGGCAAGAACCGAGTTCAGCATAGTTATCCATGGGTTCTCTAGTCAGGGAAGCCAGTGCCGCAGAAGCCAACAGGAGCCACGTCGGCAGCACACGTCTTGGTTCCAGTCTGAGAGAAGCAGTGGGACTGTCACCCTTTGACATTTCTTTCCAAGTTTATTGGTCAACCTTTGAAGGTGAGCAACCATGTTCTAGCTGATTTCTCTCTTTCTCTCTCTGTTTTGTTTGAACTGAACTTGCCTGCCACTAAGAAAAACTCCCAGTCCAGTGGGCACATCGGCAGCACTTATGCTAGAACTGGAACGAGACAGAGAAACTCCGCATGGTCCCTGCGCAATGATGGCAAGCAAACTCGTGAAGTGTTCCATCTGTCCAGGTAACTAACTTTGTAAACACTGTGTATCCCCGCCCCCATGTCTCCTGGTGTAAATAAACTGTCAGTTTAAAAAAAAAGGCTTCCAGTTCTTTTTCGTTTTTTTTTTTCTTTTTTTTTCCCCCCAAGCTGCTCCGACCAATACTTAGCTTTGAGGGATAAGGAATCTGGAGGGATATTATTATTTTATTAGTTTGGAAAGAAGCATGCTGCATATACTTACACAGCCTATCTCAAGAAATTCAACCAACAGCAATACCCTGTGAAACCCTCCATATATGTGGTTCTATCCCCTCCCTCCTCCTTTTGCCCTCCTTCCTCAATATCCTGTTCCTCCCCCTTTGTGTTCCAGCCCCACCCCTGGCCTCCTCATAGGCATCGAAGTCTTGTCCTTGGGATGCATAAACCATGTTTCTTTTTCGTTCTTTTCTGTTTTTTTCCACATTTTTGTCTTTAATTGTGGTAAAATACAAGTGGTAAAGCATTTGCGATCTCCATCAGTTTTACATAAACAGTTCAATGACATTAATTAAATTGGTGTTATTAAATATCTTTGTAAGATTGCCTAAGTTTGCTAAGCATAACGTTCTCTAGTTTTGTCATGTGCTGCAGTGGATAAGAGAGTGGTCATCACAGGAGAGGGAGAGAGAGACCAGGCTTCAACCCGGTGTGCCAAGACGTGAATACAACATACGGGCATGTAGCAGGGAACCAGCAGAGAGGTCTGCGGGGCCGCCCCCAATCTCAGCTACGTGGACCCTCCCCCCAAAAGAATTCACTTCAGGGGACAACACTGAAGTTACAGCTTGGTGAGAGGGGCACATCTGATCAGAGCACACAGGAACAAATGAAGGGGGATGGGGAGAGAGTGGAGCACATCCTGGCCCACCAAGCCCCCTGGACGGTATTCCTGCTCAGAGCAGCCAATGCACAGAGAGGACCATAGGGCCGGCCCCACAACGAGACATGGCGTCCCTCACTGAACTATAGCACTGCAGGGACAACACTGGAGGCACGGTGTGGGAATTGTGCCTGATCTGACCCCATCACACTGGGGTGAAACACTAAGGGTATGCAACAGAGCAG